CTTTGACATGGTTGAAGAAAAAAAAAATATTCTAAACTACACTGTTTTGTCYTCAGTTCCTGGCTGTGATGCTCATKAGCCTGGATGGGGTTTAGGTGGGAGGAGGGACAGTGGTGCCTACCAGGGACAGCAGGAGAGGACTGCAGCTCCTCAGCTGCCAGGTGCTCTCAGGCTCTSTGGCTGCCCCTGGCCAGGGGCTGTGTCCTGGCATCCCTGCCATGCCTGGCATGCATTGCACCTCAGTAAACCTGATTGCCTGAGACATGTCCACCCAGAATCCCCCCAAGAGCGAGCTTGGGCTGTAGTGTCCTGGAATGGGGAGCTAGACTGAGGCATGGAGCATGAGATGCGCTGTTGGAGCAGTTTGGAGAGCGAGTGGGAGGAGGGTTACAAATATGAGGGAAGAATTATGATGGATTTATCACAGCCTGAAATAAATTAACCTCTGGGAGGAATGATTTTGTAATAATTTGCATTTAGATACTCTGACACAGCCACATAACCCCAAACCTTCTGCAAACATTGTAATTAATTCAATCTCCAACATCCTGTGAGAGGGATAGAAATAGCWCTATTTACATGGTTAAAGGAGCCAAAGACTCTTCTCTCAATATTACATTTTACACCTCTGGGACTGCCCTTCTGTCTTGTTTTCAGAGTCTGGTGGTGGGGTGAAAGGCAGGAGCAGTGAACAGCTGCAGAGCTTCCCTGAGCASAGTTAGCTGAGATGCTGTGGTACAGCACACAGCCTGTGTCAGGTAGCCCAGGGAGCCCGTGTSKGCCAGGGCAGGGAGGAYRGAGCACAYGGCRGARGAAGCAGGGAGCTGAGCCCTGCCTCAGCTCCTGTTAGTGGGGGCTGTGGGCAGGGCWATTCCCCCTGCAGGGACCCTGGGCTTGGCTCCATCCCTGAGTGGAAAGCGGTCAAGTGATTTAATGTTCAGCACTCTCAAGTGCAGTAATGAATTTGATAGCCAAAATAATCTGCTAACCCAGCCAGCCTGAGAGGGTRTTTCAAGGACAATCCAAGCCTGTAGCTAGGCAGTGTGATATTCTCTTGTCATCAGCTTCCTGCCTATTCCTTTCCATTCCTGGGCAGTTAATCATAACTGAGATATTTGCTTGATGCTGTTTTCATGCATGCTCTACCCTGTTTCTGTTTCCAAGGGACCGTGCAGTYGGTGGGTCACATCCCTACCTCAGCTTCAGCAGCTTTTGTAGGAGAGCTGGCCCTTCCAGAGAGACCAGATTGAACCTCAGGCTTGGGCAAGCTGATTGTTTTCAGAGCATGTCAAAGTGCATCTTCTCTTAATTACTAATGTGTTTGAAATCTAGGGCTCTTAGCGCAGCACAGAGCTGGTGTTAGCTGAGCCACTGAGTGCACCCTGGGCACCTCCTTGCTCTGCTGCCAGACCTGCTCAGCTGTGGGGTTGCAAGTAAAAGGCTGAGGAGAGATGGTTGGGTTTCAATTACAGACCTGGGATAGTGCAGTTTTCTTTAGGCATGACCCAGAGCCGGCCTCGGTCACTGGAAGTGTATCTGTCATCTTCAAGGAGATTTGAGCAGCCCTCCCTTTGCTGCCAGTTTGGCTTCTGCCATGCCTGTCTGCTTCCTGCAAAGCTCTTCCAGGGGCTGGGAGCATGTGCTGTCCAGCAAGTGGTGAGCAACAGGCAGCTGTACACAGGGAGAAGTGGTGTGACACGGCAGCTGGGAGAGAACACACGCTGTATTGTGGAGATTTACTCCTCATAAAACACTTCTGGCTCTCTAGGTATCTGCAGATGTCTCCTGCCAAGTGAACCCAGGAGATATTTATAGTGCAAGCTTCAGCAATAGGACAATGGCGAGTTGGCAAACAAAGGGACTTTGAAATATAAGGAGAACCAAAATATGGTCTGGAGCACATTTATTTTGGCATCAATAGAAAAAGGTTAAATTATAATAGTGAATGTTTCCAGGGTGGGTCAGGTTAAAAAGCAGAGAAAGCAAAGCATGTTCACAGTGCTGTAAGACTGTTCTGTGTGTGCTGAGTTTGAGTTACAGAGATAAATGATACAAACTTCGCTTCCCACTGAGATAGAGTGTGGTGGTGCTGAGCACCACACAAACACCTGCTGAGTACCTCACAAACCTGCAGAAAGCTAAGATAAATGTTGCTTCAAAAGGGGGATTGAAACTGCTCTGAATTCAAGAATGGAAAAAATCTATATTCAATTCACAGAGTTGTGTAAAATTAAGCTGTTTTAGCTATGGGTGTGACTTTCCCCCTGCCTTCTGCTKTTTTTTCCCTGTTCCCTTCCCCTCGGTGGTGTGGAGGCCAGCGGGGTGTTGGGTTGGAGCCATGCTCAAACACGCTGTGCCTCGCCCAGGCTGGGAGAGCGGAGCTTTGTCCGGACATGTCACACTTTAATGAATGCACCTCGCACCGCTGCTGCTCGTCGGTGTCCATCGGGGAGCTCGGGCATGGGGCTGTTCCTCCCCGTCCTCTGCTGAGGGCAGTCCCGCCCTTGGCTTTGTTTCCAAAGGCTGTGTGGGGAACACGCCTGATGGCCGCTCTGGTGAGCACTCTGGGGGCTCCTTGTCGACATCCATGTTTGCTCTCCCAGTTTCAGGCAGGTCTCCTGCCTGAATCCTGCTGGCAGCAGGCCAAGGAATCAGAGATGCCCCACATTCCCCATGCTTTGACTTGGTTTCCCAAAATGGGACATTTGTAAGGAGCTGTTTGAGGCTTTGCCCGACCCTGCCAGCCCTGGCGGGTGATGGCTCCCAAAGAAATGGCAGGAGTGCTCACGCTGTGAGTGCAAGGGCTCTGGGCAGGACTAAGACCTCACCAGCAAAATTCACCATTAGCTGAGGTAAAGTTGCTTTAGGGAACCACTGGGATCCCTTGGGATCCGTTTCTTTGTTGCTTGGCTTTTCAGAGAGCCCAGGCCCTGTAAAGGCCTCAGTTTGTCCTGAGGGCACTAAGGGCCTCATGGAAGGATGTGTCCCACAGTAAAACTGCTGTCCACAAAACTTCTGTCCTTGCCAGAAATCCTGTGGCAGCAGAAATTGGATGGAAAAGGCTGGACAAGAAAAAAAGTTTTTAATTTGCCGTGACAGGAATCAAAGCCATGTCTTGTCAAAAAATTACAGCTCCCTTTTCCTGCCTGTCTGTCACATGTCAGCAGCCCTGACGCTGTACAGATAAATGCAGCTCTACAGAAAGGAGCCCTGGGAATGACTCGGAACAATCCAGTTTGTCAGGGGAGGAGAGGCTTAGGCAAGCACTGGAACCGAGCTTGCATTTGGTGTGGTAGTTATTGAGCCGCATGATGTTTATATTTTACTCCTGAGTATTTATACTGAAGCAAGTTGCTGCTTTTCCTGCTGCTGTGGCAGTGGTGCCCCGGCACCCATGGGGACAGGGARTGGGTCCCATGGGAGATGGACAGCTCCCAGGACACACCACCCTGACACTCCTCTCATCTGGGAGCACAATACAAGGCTGATGAGGGGAGTTATTCTCCTACAGAAGCTGATGAGCAGCAATTCCTGTCACACAGGCAATAAGACTGGCAGTGCAGATGCCCGTGGTAACCTGCTTTCCAAGGGCAGGCTCACTCCACACCCTGCACAGGTTGCTCAAGGGTCGTCTGTAAGCAGGAATCCAAAGGCCAGCAAAATGCAAACTCATCTTGAATGGCTTCTGCCTCAAATACATCAACTACAGAACAYTCCAATTGCTCTAAGCCTGCTGATGAGATAACTTTCAAAAGGGTAAGACACACACACAGTTTCAGAAACCCTTTACCATCCATTTGCTAAGGGCTTTACAYTGGAAATAGCTAAGGATTTAAATGGGAAACTCTGGACACTGTGCCAGGTTCAGGATTTGAAGCTGTTGAGACACACAAGATAAAACACAATTTTAAAGATGTTTAGGCTCAGCTGTGGCATTAAGACAGCGATCCTGTAAAAGTGCCAGCAAAATGGTTGTCAATCGCAATCAAATTACCTCAAACATGGTGACTGCTTAGTAATTCGTTTATCTCAGTACATGCTTGGAACAAGAGGGGTATTTTTTGCTGCTTTTAAAAATAAATGTTTTGTTTCATTCAAATTAATTCTTACTGCTTGAATAAGGAGAAACCTAGGGTGTGTTTGCAGGTGGATATGTAAGGTCTTCGTAAGGGCTTATAAAAACTTAAGCAATTATTTTTAAAATGTTGCTGACTCTGCCTATGTGAGCACTTGCTTCTTCTCCACAGTAAAGATATTGCAGAGAGCAGGCAGCGCTCCATACTGGAGAATTTTTCAATTTGACTGCTGAGTCCTCTTCTTACCTTTCCTGTCCTTCCTTATGGCAAAGGGTATATTCAATCAGTGATTGTCATAGCAATCTTTTTGGGGATAGTCTCATCTCTTTCTGGGAGATAAATTTTTCTCTGAAAATTTCCATGCATGTGGAGGGGAATTAGTCAATCAAATTCCACTGGCATTCAGCACATCTCTGTCTCTTGAAAACTTCTCACTAGCCTCGCCTCTCTGATTAAGGAAATGCCTTCTCAGGATAGATTTAGTAGGGTGSGGAGCACTTTGGAGTTTGTTTCTTTTTTTGGTGACAAAGGAGTTTCAAACAGCTGTGCTAATATACATAATAAGTCTATTGAGTACAGCTGTCATTGAATCAGACTTCCATGCCTTCTGGGATTCTAGGAAAAGATGGATTCTAGGATAGACTTTGAGCAGGAGAYACTTGTATTTCCCATCTCCTTGCTCCATATGTTAATCTCTTCTCCTTTGCTTTTCCATCCCCCACAGTCAACAGTGAGAAAATTTGTGCCTACATTGATACCAACCACTAGATTAAAGCAGGAGAACTCAAATTAGGTGGTAAATTTGACCGAAAGACCTGAAGCAGATCCAGTTTACCAGGGAGCTGGGATGTTTTTATGCTGAGATTGTCTGGGGTAAAATCCTCCCTTTAACTGTCCATTAAACTGCATTTTCTCTCATTTTAGGGGAGCACCTGCGGATCTGCCCACAAGGCTACACCTGCTGCACCAGCGAGATGGAGGAGAACTTTGCAAACAAAAGCCGAAGTGAATTTGAAGCCATGATGAAAGAGGCTGGTCGCTCTGTGCAGGCGACMCTAACAGCACAGCACAGAAGTTTTGACAGTAAGTAAAACCTGTCTGGTTCCCTCTGCTCAGGGTCCAGTCATCACTCAGTTTTCTGAGCACWGTTGGAGCCAGGAGTTTGTGTTTGATGCGTTTCTCTCTGCATCTCCCACAACAGTGTGTGTGAAGCACTGACCTTCAGTAGGAATTGTACCTCTGGCAGTGTTTCTGTAAGACCAAGGCATTTTGAGAGCTCCATTTCAGAGCAGCCACTGGAGGAGGCTGGCAGACACTGGTGTGCCTTGGCACCAACACAGCTTTGACCGTCGTGGTGTAATCAGGTCATACCRCAGTAGAGTAACATTTGAGGCAGTGATGTAAAACCTGGCACTGTGCCTTGAATTGTAAGTTGAGCAACATGATATAGGTGACTGGATAGCCCTCAGCAGGTGGGGAGAATTTTAAGGAGACATGGATTTCTCTGGCCCTTTCCATGCAGGTTGCAAGTGAAACAGAGGTTAGTTCGCATTAGGTGCTTGCAGCTGTCGGCTTCATACAACATCAGGAAATGTTACAGARCAGGGAAGGTCTTAAGAGACTGTGRCGCATAAGATACTGTGGACAAACATTCTCTCCAAAATACAGTACCCCTCCTAAYGTGCTAAGCAAAGGCTAAGGATGGCTCTCTTACTTTCATTGTTCCCTGAAAAATCCGTTTTGCAGTGCACAGTAAGCCTCGAGGTCTGAAGGCCACTGGAAATAAACGGTTTACTGGCAAAATTGAGATGACCTGTGATTCAGAAACTGTATCCATTATCAGATTTTGAAGAAGGTCAGACATTTAGAATCATGGCCCTCCTAACTTTATCAACAGTCATCATCTGGAGTTACCGTGAAAAGGAGTCAGGGAAAGAAGCTGTAATAGCCAGAAAGGTGGAACTGGAAATTCAAGTAGTAAATAATAGATCTAAAGAAATAAGGCTGACCTTCAGGGAGCTGATAACCAAGATGAAGTGCTTTTACATTAAATAGGAAGAAAAGGCAGTGTGTCTCTGCAAAAGGCATTGTGACTGTGTGGCCAAGGTTGACCACAGAAAGCCATTCCTTTATAGGCTCAAAATTAATTGATTTTCACCCGCCTTAAAAGGTGATAATCAGGATTTTCAAAAGAGCCTTACAATGGTGGTTGCTTAGACTGGTGTCTGAATGGGACCTGATGTAGCTGCTGCTGAGCACACTCCCTGACCTCTGAAATCCAGCCCTTTGCAGGGRTTAGTGCAGACCCCCCCTGGGATTGGCATCCTCTCTCTCCACTTCCTGTCGCAGCACTGGCTGRTATATCTGCTCTTYATTTTTGCCACAGACACTCAAAAGAGCAGMGTTCTGCATCTGTCATGTAAGAGAGTGCAAAATTTGATGGAAGCTTTGAGGATTATATTAACAAGCAGAAATTGCCTAGTGAAGGACTGRTTTAGTCTGAGTGTGATGTTTTGGTGGATTAATAATAATAACAGCAATAAGAGTAATAGTAAGCAAAACCAAGCATATGAAAGGGGGATACTTACGTTGAGATGTCAGTTAGAGCCATTTGWTTTTATTCCCCARTATTTTATTTTATTTTGGTTTTACTCCCCAAATACTTTACAAAGTAAAAAAATTTTACTTTACAAAAAAATTTTTGTTACAGTGATAGAGCTTTATTTCTGTGGTGCATACCCAAGTTTTTTTTAAGTATCAAAYGAAGTAAGTGTTCAATAAGCCAAGTATTACTTTAACAGACCATAATGCAMAGATCATTGGTGTTTTGCAGTGGGAGCAACCTCACTTGAGCCCACAGGCCGGGAAGATGTCTCCTGCTCCCATTATACCCTTTTAGTTTGCTTAACTACCCTTGCAATCAATACAGAGTTTATAATTTATGCAAAATACGATTTAAAAAAATCATCATGTTGTGTCTCAGTTTCAAGCATGACTTTACCTATAAGTAGTATTGTTATTTTTGCTTTAGCTACTGATAAATGGTTTAAAAATGAAGGAGTTCTGATCATGGGGCAGTGGAATCACCTGAGGTCCTGAAACAATGCCATAGAAACTGCCCTAGCTTCCAGTAAATGTTATTAATCTCACAGTTAACAAGATTTTTTGCAGGTAGTGCTGTTTAGAGCTATTCAATACAGGAGCTTTTTTATGTCAAATTGATAAGTTCTAGTCTTGCTGGCACCGGATGCCTGCATTTGCTGGATTTCCTTAGCAGCAGCTTGGAGTGCAGCTTTTGGGGTTTTAGAGGTATTGATGCACAGCTTGTCTTCACATCAATGATTTCATTTGGCCTTTGGAGGATGTAGTGAGAGAGGCTCCACTGGATGGGGATGTCCAGCCCTTTCTCAAAGTATTTGTAGCCTGGAGATCAGATTATTTGTATATTCTCTGCTAGCAGGTGTGGCACATTGAAYTTCAGGCCTGGAGCTGTCTTATTTTTGGGTTCATCAGAGCAAATCTTGTGCCTGTAATCCCACTGCTGATCATGGCAATAATCTCTACTTGTAAATTCCCCAGGCTCCAGATAGAAAATAGCAAAGCTACAGCAATCTGCCTCTGAAGTAACATTCTCCATGCTTGTGGTCAACATTTTGCTTTGGAGAATATTTCATCCTTGCAGGTTGTGGTCTGTAAAGCCCTAAATTGTCAGTGTGCCTCTGCTCTGAGCTGCACCTTTGTTCTGTTGCAAGGAATTACAGTCTGTTTCAGTCTCCCTGGCTGCTTTTGGGGCAAACATTTTGTGGCCAAGAGCAGAGTGTCCTTTATGTCATATGAAGTATTTTTAGAGAAAGTACATGTGTGAGATAGAGATGACATGCAATAGGTGTAGCCATATATTCAAAAGTGAGGTATGTGGAATGGAATCCTACCGTCTGAGTGCTCTCTCTGCATAGCAGAGGACACATGGCTTCTGAGATGCCCTTCCTCCAGGATCTGCCAGGGCTAAATTTAAACAGCCTACGGTATTGCTTAGCTGCTTACTAGCACATTTGTTGTTTTGCTTTGTTACTGTTGTTTGCAGAATTSGGGGACATTAGTTTTGAGCTGCACATGTGGTCATAAGCTTGCTGTTAACCTTTTAACTGAAAAGGTAGCTTTTTGCGCTACAACCAGTTGGTTTTAATTTAAAAAAAGAAAAAGAGCAAGAAGCAGACYGTGAGTGATGGGAGCATATGCTTTTGATAACTCAGTGCTAGGGAGGATGTTGTGGTCAGAGTAGAGGTATTTCATTAGCAGGATTAGAGGCACAAATTCTTTGTTGATTCTGATGTCCCATGGCTCYTGGTCAGGCAGGGAGGGAAATGTAGTTAAATGGGAGCACAGCTGTGGCAGAGACCTACTAGAGGCTGCTAGGTTGGTGTAGGTTGGCATTTACTTGCCTGGAAAATTATGTATACCCTATACTTAGAAAGATAAACATGAATAATAAAAATAAAAACAAGATGTGGATCTTAAAGGGAGCGGGGTACAGTCTCTTTTGAGACTGGTACTAAATATTGTTTTAAAGGTGCTTCCAACATTGATTGCAGAAGACCTGCTTCTTTTTAAACTGGTATCTTGTCAGTGAATGGGAAAGTTTTGGTATCTCTTATTACAAAATTAAATACATTGACAAGGAGCTTTGTCCAAACTGTGGTTAAGGATACAGATGTGAGCTGGCTATGCCCCCTCTGACAGCTGCAGAATAGGGCTTTGGCTCTTCAGTTGTGCTGAGAGTGAGTTACAAACATAGCTCATGTCTGGGGGAGATTCCTGTGGAAAATGAGCTTTTTTTTGCATATCRCACAACTGCATGTCAGTGTTGCTCAGTCATGGGATTTCTGATCTCCTGTGCTTCCCAGTACAAGTGAAACTTGTACTTCCATACTCTGTTGAAGTGATGAGCCTGGAAAAACTTCTGGACTATGCAGGAAAGAGTGCAGAAGTGATTTGTGGTGCCTGCTCAGAGCAGTCCCATTCCAAGGCCATGCAGCTGAGGATGGCAGCATGGGCTGCAGAGGGGTGAAAAGAGGGAGTAAGAACAGTGCTTGGAATGACAGTGAGGGCCTGCAAGCAGCCAGGAACAAGGCTGTTTTTCTAATCTTGGTGAAAGCTCAMTTGTTGAGTATACTTGTCTGTCTCTGTTTTCTCCCTTTTTCCCCACTTAAATCACTTTTTAATAATACTGCAACGTTGCGCCAATCTTTCCTTTTGGTACACTTAGYAAGCAGTCCCTGTGTGACTGCTGACCTTTAGCTGTGAGCCAGGAAATCTGTCCTTTCAGAATTGTTTCATATTTTCAGGAAATATCAATAAGCCAAAACAAAAAACCTTGGCTTTTAGTCCACACTGCACAGTCTAAAAATTATTTGTAGCTCTCATAAATTCTGTGATTTTTAAGCTTTGACAATCAAATGCAGATTAAAAATTTTGCGTTTTATAACTGGCTGGTCATTGGAAAGCTGATGTCATGTAAAAGCTTTCWTAATGTCCAGTCTTGGTAGCTGGAAACTGCGTATGCACAAACTCTGACCTTGCAGGTAATTAACATTATTTGAAAGTTAGTTTCAGACAGTTACATATTTCTTACGATGATGAATCATTGTTTTAAATGTTACAAGGTGGGAAACATTCTGGAAGCTGTTACACACTGATGGTTAAAATTTTACAGATTTCTAAAGGTCCCTTGTTTAAAGTTCAACCAAATGTGTCTTTGTCAGAGGAACTGAGTTATATAAYCCTCATTACCTAGAGTTGCAGCCCCTAAAAGCACTGTTGGAAAGARGCATATATAATTATTTTTATTTACATCTATATATACAGTGAATGCTTAAGGAAGCTGATCAGGAGGTTGTGGAGTAAGCSCAGCAGGCAGAGCTCTGTTCTACCCTGATGGCTTTCAACCTGAGCTACAAAATCCAGACCTGAAACTGAATGATGCAGGTATCTGCTCAGCTGATGATAACATCTACCAAACCCTGATGACCTGAAATTTTAAAGTATCTGAATCTGGTGGCCCATTCACCAGAAGATGTATACTG